GAAGGGGAAAGGGCCAGACGCGCGAACGGGAGAGCTGCGGAAGACAGAGCTCGAGCGCAGGGGAGACGACTAGGGAATAAAGAGGAAAGAAAAAAAAGTTAACTAATATATATATTAAATATATATATATAGATATATAGATATTAATTAAAAAGATTTATTCGCGCGCGACGACGCGACAAAATGAGTGTCCTCCCCGGGCAAAATCGACGTTCCGGACTCGTTGGCGCAGTCCGTTTCGTCATCCGGGGTCGCTCGGGCGACGTAGTCGACAATCGGGTCAAAAACGGATCAAAATTCAAATTTTACGAAGTTTCGACTCGCGATCAATCGTTTCAAAAAGTTTATTCGAGTCTTGGACAGATAACAGTGCAAGCGATGTGAATTGTAGCGATCGGACGCGTCGATTCTCCGAATTGCGAAGTTTTGTGCGCGGGAGTGCGAATTGTGCAAAAGGCCACCCTAAGGCTCAAATAACCCTATAGGAATCCCTTTTGGGTTTCCTCATGTTGGTTTCGTCCTTCTAAGTGCTAGAAGTTGATACCACACACGCGAAACTCCAGAAGGGGACGGAAGCGGGTCGAACTAAAACGATGCGGGTCCCACTTCTAAGGTTCTAAGATAGTCGCAGGAAGACCCCTAAGGCTAGATCCTAATTCCTACGAGAAATACTAGACCTCACGAAAATTGAGGTCAACAAGCGGGCGAAGCCAAAGCGGAAGAAGCAGTCGAAGATACCATAGAAACAACGATAGCTAGCGAAGGAGATCTGAAGCGTACGAAGCCTTCGATCCTTCGCCTCCCTGTCGTCAATTGTAACTCCGAAAATGAAGGTCATGCTTCGCTGCTTTCCTCACTTTCGAGTCACAAGCAAGACCAAACCAGACCCCCCTCCCTGTGCTGCGATGACCAGACTGCTACATACAAAGACTGCTAAGTTGTTGCAGTTTCAACGAGCCTTGTTGCTAAGCTTGCACTCGAAGTTGGGGGGAAAACGGAGGATAAGGCCGAAGTGGTTGCTTTCAAAGGTACACGGGGAAAACGGAGGATAAGGCCTAAGTGGCTGCTTTCGAAGGTAACATGACGACAAAGGAAGACGATCGTTTTTTCCAAATGCCGTCTTCTCAGGTGCGATGATGGATTTGTTGTGCCCGGATGAAGGGGGCAACAATCGGAGGGGGAACCGAAGAGGCTTGTGCTTGATATATGAAGTGGGGAGTGCAGCGACAAGGAGACAGATACGACAACCATGATCTTCAAAAAAGCTTTAAAGTCTGTCTTCCTCAATGGTTTCAGGTATGAGAGGAGCTGAAGGAGAAGCATAATGGAAGTCTCTATAATCCGCAATCCCGTCGTTGTGTTCCTTGCTAGTTGCGAATGTATCGCGTAAGTTCGGTCACAAAGGCGATATTTTGGGACGAAACAGATTGATGTGGGCACCAGGTGGAGTTTGAACGAAGAGGCTTTGTTGAGATTGGCTGAGTCGAAGAGGAAGATAAAGTCGATTGAAGTCGATGCAGGCGAAGAAATAATGACACGACGAGCAGATGAGCGAGAATCAAAAAAATAGTTCCTCCCTTCCCGTCCCGCAAGAAGGCCGGCGTGAAGAGAGTCTTGACGGTCCTCTAACGACTATCAGTGGTTAGGGCAAAAATTTGGCTCTGATACCATGTTAAAGTTTTGAGAAAAATATGTTGAATTCTGAATAGACTCCATGACTTTTCCCTTTGCTTTCATCCCATTAAATAATAATCTTGCGATCTATTTTAGGTACAAAATATTACAAAATATTTTGTATAATTTATTTTATTTAACTTAATAATACATATTCCTAATCTAAATATTCAGCTAAAAGGGAAAAAAATCAGAATAAAGATATTAGAAATAATTTAAATAAGGAAGCTCCTAATTATAGAGCACTCCTACTTTAGCTGTCTGATTTCCGTCCTTCCTGATTGACAAAGTCTTACGTTAACGTTATTTATAAATAATAAAAACAAAAGTCCAAAGTTCTGAGAAATTCAATATCTTTTATTTGTTTACAAGTATAAACACAATAGTTCTACTCAACAAAATACAAAAGAGATTTTTTTTAGAAATGAGAAAGGTATTCTCATACAGAGTTTAAAAGACAAACTACTTCTCATAGAAATCAAAACCTTTCTCCCACCTTCTTTGTCCTTCAATATCAGAAAACATGAAGCTGTTCTTCTAACTGATCTCTAAAAGTAAGTTTTGAGTTGTTTTCTCTCTTTAAATGCTTTATGGGTTAGGACGCTGATGTTTGATATTTCTTGTTATGTTACAGGACTCCATATGTACAAGAGCATGTCAATATTGGTTCTGGTCCCCCCGGTTCCAAAGTCAGGTGGTTTAGATCCTGTAGTGATGAGCCGAGGTTCATCAATACAGTAACATTTGACAGCAAAGACGGCTCTCCTACTCTTGTTATGGTACATGGTTATGGTGCTTCTCAAGGTTTCTTCTTTCGGAACTTTGATGCCTTGGCTAGTCATTTTCGCGTGATTGCTATTGATCAACTTGGGTTAGTAACCTCATTCCCCTTCCTCCCAACTTCCTTACAGCCACGCCAATCAATTGACCTTTTGTATAGGATTCGTCAATTCATTCCTGATGTTAACATGCTTTGCATTTAGGTTCATAGAATGATTACTAGTACTTCTTGTTTGCCAAATGTGATTATTTTGGGAAAAGATTTAAGTATATGGATGTTATTTAAGATAATTATAAGATTTAAATATTTATTATAAAGCTTTTCTTATGCTAATAGGGGCATACTATAAAAAACATTCCCCCCTCCCCAACCACCAACATCCCTCCTTTCCCCCACCACTTCCCTCCTTTTTCTATCCATTTCATCATGTACTCTGACAGCTTTAGCAAAACTTCACATTTTTGCGAAATCCTGGTCTCAGTGAGAATGAAGCTTGTTGTGGGTGCTTATATATAGGCATAAAACGCAAATATAAAAGGAGGAGAGAATATCTTCAATTATGAGGATCTGAATTAATAATGAAAACATGTCTAGTAATCTAATGCCTTCCTACTTTAATATTTTTTGGGGGCATTTACATACATACCACCCAGTTCCTATGTATTTACTTGTCTAACACCTAACTTTACTTTTTTACATTTATACCTCTCATTTTAACTTTAAAAATGTGAAATACACCTTTTTCATGCATAGGTAAGATGTCGTGTATGTAAAAATTAAAGTTTAGGTGTTAGATATGTAAATACATAAGAATTGAGTGGTATGTATCTTAAGTTTCTTTTTTTTGTCTAGTATTTTTCAAGGACAGCACTCTTCGTCAAGCGTAGCATACATATATACATTAATTAGCCCCAAGTTATCACGTAGCTTGAAAACTACGATTAGATTAATGATGATGTTACTGATGACAGTATATCTTTTAGATAACTGAATATAATTATCTTAAATCTAACATTTATTTTTCCCTTGATGTTATTTTTTAATACTTAGTGATGAGATTCTTTTTCGGATTTTGCTGGTTGTGGGTTACTTTTTCAACTTATCGAGGATTACTTACATTATAGCCATCTTTCACTGCAGTTGGGGAGGATCGAGTAGACCGGACTTCACCTGTAAAAGCACAGAAGGTTAGAACAATTTGATTTGTTTTTGCTCTGGTGCGGGCATCATTGGGATGGGATGGAATGGGCTTCCACCCAATTTAGTTATTGCAGTTATGGTCGGTCGATAAAGCTTATTCAATTTAATTACTGGCCTTCAAGGAAGAAGGGCGGCTTGTCTATCTAAATAATATTTTATGTCATGACAAGTCTAAGCCCTTATCTCAATACCACTGCAATTAATGCATTTAGTTTACCTGTTACAAATGGTATAAACGACTCGTTCATGAAATATCATTGCCATTAGCGTCATTAGCCTCATCACAAGTCTTCTTCTACATTTAATTTTGATAAATGTTGCCATTTTGCACCCACTTCATGGGCTGAGCATTGATGAGAATATTATTGACTATATGTCTATGTTTGTGGTTATAAATTTCATAGCCATTAATTCATTTTTGGCGTGGCTGAGTACAGAAACGGCTACAAATATGCCAATAGAACTGGATGTATCAACCATGCATGCAATAGTTTAATGCCTTCAATCTTTTCTGTTATGGATTGCACGATCAATCCCATGCATCATATCCAGAAGTAATTAAATGCAGAATCAATCATATGCATGATATCTAGACGAAATTAAGCAATTAGTGTATAATTATTAGTTTTCTATTAATTATTAACATAATTATAGAAAAGAAATCAATAGCACTAATTTTCTGATATGGTACAAATAGCCTTGATTGCATAGGCATTAATTTAGGCATAATTTTTGTTCTTATTTTTCTCCTCTTTTCTATTCTGAATATTAAACATCTTGTATAAATATCAGCCCTCTTTGTATAATGAAAATATAAGAGATTCATACTTTATTCTCTAACATTTTCTATGAATGAATGCTTGTGTCTATACAACATGCACCAAGGGCATCAAATATTCTTCTTCTTCTTGGCCTTATTCCAACTATTTGTGGTCGGGTTATTAATGCTGCAGTTTTATTTTATTTTGTCATAGGTAATTTTAATTATTTTTGAAATGTTTTGACATTTATTTTTACGATGATATACACTTTGGCTGATCAATATTCATTCCTTCTGTATTTTTGCTTTGCGAATTGCCAGATTACCTTCAAGCCATTTAGCATTGAAACCATCCGTTCCTAAATTAGAAATGGGGTTGTTTGTTTTATTCTGAATTCATTTTTTTCTGAATCCATTGTACAGTTTATCTAGCCTGATGAATGGTTATGGTTAGTCTAAAGCTTACTTCAGATATTGGACCACTTTCTAAAATTTATGCCTGCCCTGACTTTATGATATTAACATATAATTTCATCGGAAAAAAATTACTCGTGATTTTATAGGTCAACTTTAAGGTTCTGAGCCTCTTGGGCTTTGTTGGCCTTGAAAATATAAATTTAACTGATAATGAGAATCGTGGATATAGCTCTACTCTACAAATTTTAGTTGAGTGTTTATTAAAGGGTTTCTTAATTATTGGATCAGTCAGATCCAGTGTGGTATGCAAGGGTAGATTCAGTTAGGGTCCAGGAGGGGAACTATTCCCCTCAAATTTAGATATTTACTTATATGAGAGTGTAATTTAGTCTTTTGCTCTTTCTGAAATATCAGTTTTGTCCCTCATGAAATATTAGTTTGCCCTTCTTTGGTTTAGCCACTCTCACATTATGTTTAGAGGAGCAATTTGCTCTCCCCCTCCTTCAAAAAAGAGACCGCTTCCACCCTTGGTGGTATGTTTTCGAGGGGTTGTAGCCAAAAATGGGTGAGCAAGTTGGGTGGGTTGGTGGAGGGTGGGAGGTGGGAGAATAGAATTCTTTTTTGGCATTTCTAGAAAATAGTTATGTAAGCTTTATTTTTGCAAGCACCATTATTTTTTAAAATTTCGGTTTCTGCTCATTAAATTTAGTCCACAATTGTGAACAATCATATGAGCTAATTTCATCTCTAAGGTTTCAAACTGGATTTTTCATCACTTGAAAATGGTTGACTTCTCATTACAGAAACTGAGGCGTGGTTTATAGATTCTTTTGAGGAATGGCGTAAAGCTAAAAATCTTAATCAGTTTATCTTACTCGGCCATTCTTTTGGAGGATATGTTGCTTCGAAATATGCTCTGAAGGTAAAAACTTGTTTATATTATCAGAAAACTCATTTAATGCATTGCTTGTTTGCCTTTTGCTCGTTAATCTTTTCAATTTTTCTCCTTGCAGCATCCTGAACATGTTCAACACTTAATCTTAGTAGGCCCAGCTGGCTTTTCATCGGAGACAGAACAGAGATCAGAGTGGCTAACTAAATTTAGAGCAACATGGAAAGGCACAATTATTAATCATCTCTGGGAATCAAACTTTACCCCTATGAAAGTTATCCGGTAATGTTCTTAATATGATAGATAGCCCATCTTCACAAATATATATGTTAGCTTATTATTCCTAATTGTCGAACTATTTGGATTGAAGTTTCTTTCTTACCACTTAATATGAAGCAACTCCCGCATCTTCTTTTCTGCCACTTTGTTGCTAGATACCTCCAAAATATTTTGCATTGGCATTTTACTAACCATGAACTAAGGTGGTGTTTTTTTTTTTCGACAACTATAATGACGCAGGGCTCGGGGGGTGGTTGGGGGGAGTGGTTGAGGACTGGCCAGTCCTCAAGGGAGAGGTTTCTTTTTTTCCCTCATTTTCTTTTTCCCTCCTTTCCGTTTTACTCATTTCCCTTTTCTTTCCTTTCCTTCTTCTCTTACTTTCCCCCTAGGTCTTTCTTAATTTAAATCCTTTCCTAAAATCTGATTTTTTTTTTTTATTCTCCTTGCTTGCTTTCCAAAAATCTGAGATCCCTATTATATTTTATTTCTCTTTCTTATTTTTAGTGTTTCTTAAAAAAAGTATAGCCTCTTTATAAGTAGGAGATGATGTGTTTAAATTTAGAGGTCTTGTTTTGATATCTGAATTAAGGTTTTGGCCTTGGTACTTTCCCTTTGAGGATTGTATCTGACGTCGAGATAGTGCTCCTGCTATCCCTCATATGAGGTGATGATCGTCTGCACTAGTTCGGGTGGTGCTTCAACTGTAGATCGACCCCACTGAGATATTTATCTATCTGTCCACTCTTACCGCTGCTACTCCCTAAATCTTGCACCCCCATCAGCTCTCAGACTCCCTCTGCACCCTTGCAGGTCACCACCCAGCCTCCTCCCCGCCCCCAACCAGTTGCAGCCCAGCTTCATCTTCCCTCCAACATGCTGCCAACCTTCTCCCAGCAAGGCCGCAACTCTCAATACACCTCCCTGTAGACCACCACCCGACTTCCTCCCTGCCCCCTACCAGTTGCAACCCAGCTTCTTCTTTCCTCTAACTTACTGCCAGTCTTCTCCTAGCAAGATCGCAGCTCTCCATACTCCTCCCAGCAGGCTGCCATTGCTCTCTGCCTCTGCAAGTCGCCTTCCTGCCCCCGCAGGCTGTCTCCCTGCTCCCGCAGACCACCACTTTTGCTCCCTGCCACGCAGTCTGTCTCCCTTCCACTCTGCCTCCTGTAGGTCTCCAAGCTCCACTCACTGGATTTCCTGCTCGTCAGTTTTGTTTATGTCATCCTTTTTGTGTTGGGTGTTTGTTTATATCAAGCACCGTTGCTTTGGGTGGTTATTCTATTTACTTGGAGTTTCCATGGTAACCTCATTTAGAGACAACAATAATATTTGTATTTTAGAGTCGTGGTTTGGATCAAATCCGGTATCTTTTGGTATCAGAGCTAGCCCAATCTTAGTCTTATCTTAAGATTTCTAGCATCCGTCCCTACCCAATCCACCACACCAAATTTTTTATTTTTTTCCCCTCGTTCATTTATTTTTTTCTCTTCTTTCTTTGTTCCTTCTTTTCTTTCCTTTAACAGATCCCAAACCACCAAACATGGCGCCAAGGAGAAATATGCTTGAGCTTACCTGGGAAGAGATAAGGCGGGAACTCCATTGCCTCCAACAAAGAATTACAGAGATTGAATAGATGATACAAGAAGAAGTTACCTTTGACCGAGAATTGGATAGTCAAAGGGGAGAGGGAGAAGAGGATTTGAATCCCTTCCATAGGAATAATTTCAACAATGAAGAAGAAAGGCCACGATGCTTCGAAATCCAATATCAGAGGAAGCCTAAAGAGGGATACATGCATCCCTCCCATAGGGAAACTTTCTAAGAAGAGATGTCATTTGGAGGGCACCAAGACTACGAGATCAAGATAGATTTGCTTGAGTTTGAGGGGAGCATGGATATTGATGAATTTATTGAATGGCTACAGGCAATTGATTGGATCTTCGAATACAAAAAGGGGTCCAAAGAGAGGCGAGTTAAATTAGTTGCTATCAAATTGAAGAAAGGTGTCTCCCTTTGGTGGGAGAGCGTACAAAGACAGAGGCGGCAAGAAGGCTGCAAAAAGGTTAGCAGGTGGGAGAAGAAGAAAACTATGTAGAAGAAATATTTTTCCCCTCATTACTGCAAGACATGTTTTTGAAACTCCATAATTTGCAACAGAGAGACATTTCAGTGGAGAAGTTCACAGATTCGTTCAATTACTTACAACTGAAGTACGACCTGATAGAGCTAGAGGAAAATACAATAAACAAATATCTTGGGGGCTTGAAGCCTAGTATTAGCAATGTGCTGCAGCTATAGCCGTACTGGATGCTAGGGGATGTCCAAACACTCGCATTGAAAGTAAAAAGGCAGTAGAAGCAAAGCTGACAGCCACCCATAGTTGGAGATATCAACAGAAGCATGCCGCAGCGAGTTGAGAAAATTAGTTCGGATATGGTTAAAGCCACCCCGAGTGGGAAGAAGCCGACTACAGTGCCCGTAAAAAAATTATTCAAATACCACGGATTTGGGCGCATAGCCTTCAGCTGCCAGACGAGCAGAGTTGTTTCTTTTACTGAGCAGAGCGTCAAGAGGTTAGCGAGGAGCAGGAAGCTGAGGAACATGCTGAGAAGTATCAGCTTCCATCATATGAGGGAGAAGCACTTGTGATTCGACGGGTTCTGCAGGCCAAAGACACGAGGGATCCGCAGTAGCTTCGCCACAACATTTTCTACACCCGCCGCATAGTGAACGAAAAGGTATGCAGTCTTATCATCGATAGGAGTAGAAGTAAGAATGTGGTATCGACTAAGAGGGTAGAGAATCCGGGATTCACAACTCAGAGGCAATCTTAGCCATATTCATTGATGTGGCTGAAGAAGAAAAACAGGGTCAAGATCGACCGACAATACCTAGTAGTGTTTTCAATAGGGAAGCTGTAGAACCAGGTATGTTGTGATGTGGTCCCCATGGACGCCTGCCGCCTTCTACTAGGAAGACCGTGGCAATTTGACTAGAAGCTTAACATGATGGATTCAAAAACACGTATTCCTTCACCAAGGACGACAAACACCTCATTCTACTTCCTTCGGTAACACCTGATGAGATAAGAGCCCTTACCAGCAGAGCAGCAGGACCAGTTTTAGTGACAGACGATTCTATATCACCATAGTCACCACCATGCAAGAGATTTCAGTCCCAGGAGATTGGACCGAGATGAAGATACGCTCGTAAGTGCTTTGGAAGGCAATACAGTTGACAATGAGATCCATGCGCTGTCAGGATTAAAGGTAAGGGCCAGAAGGTTCTACAAATGAGGTCGAAGCTCCCCCAACTCCGGTAGGCTGACGCAATTATATATATATATATATATA